AAAGCCTGAATCAGTACCCAAGTTTTGTAAAGCAAGACCGGTACCATATGCTATGAAAGGGGCGGTAGAGAAGGAGTTAGACAGGCTGGAGAAAGATGAAATTTTGAAGAAGGTTGAAAGATCAGATTGGGCGTGTCCCCAATTGTGATTGTGCCAAAGTCTGACAAGTCCATACGAATCTGTGGAGACTATAAAGTGACCATCAACTCATGTCTGGAAGAGAAAGTGTACCCCATGCCAACAGTTGATTATCTCTTCTCCAAACTATCAGGAGCCAAAGTCTTCAGCAAGGTGGATCTGTCCAGTGCATGTCAGCAACTTGAACTGTCTGAAGATTCAAAGAAATTGTTGGTGATTAATACTCATAAAGGCCTCTATAAGCATCAGAGACTGACATTCGGAGTTTCCACAGCACCCGCATTGTTTCAGTGTGTGATGGAACAGATTCTCAACGGAATAGATGGAATTGAAGTCCTGCTTGCTGACATCCTCATGGGAACCGAGAACGAAGCTCAACAGCTAATATTGGTGGATAAAGTCCTAGGAAGACTGGCACAGTATGGTATAAAGCTCAAGTTGGAAAAATGCAAGTTCATGACAATGTCAATAGAATACCTAGGACATCGCATTGATGCAGAAGGAATTCATCCTCTAGATGACAAGATCACAGCTATCACAAAAAGCTCTAAGGCCGAAGAACCTGATGGAACTCAGCATTCATCGGCATGGTGAACTACTATGGGAAGTTCATCGCAAATATGTCAACGCTACTGGCCCCCTTGTACAGTTTCCTGAAGGGAAATGTTGCATGGAAATGGAAGAAGGAACAGGAAGATGCCTTCACGCAGTGTAAAGCACAGCTATCAAGCAACAGTATCTTGGTCCACTATGACACTAATCGCCCGCTCACGCTGGCAAGTTTCGCCTAAGCCTATGGAATAGGGTGTGTCATATCACACATTATGGAGGACGGAAGTGAACGGCCAGTGGCGTATGCATCCAGGACATTGACAGCCTCAGAGACTAACTACGCACAGCTAGAGAAAGAAGCATTGGCCATCATCTTTGGAGTAAAGAAGTTTCACAAGTACCTATATGGCAGAAGCTTCATCCTGATTACAGATCATAAGCCGCTGACTACAATCTTTGGGCCAAAGACTGGGGTTCCAACACTAGCCGCAGCTAGACTTCAACGATGGGCACTTATCCTCATGGCACACAAGTACGAGATCTGATACCGCAAGTCGTCTGAGCACAGCAACGCAGACTGCTAATCAAGATTGCCGTGGGAGTCGTCGAAGTTGGCAGCCGAAGAAGAGTGTAATCAGATTGACTACCTAGACAATCTACCAACCTCAGCAGAGCAGATTGTCGAAGCAACCAGGAAAGATGTCATTCTTTCAAGAGTGTTACAGTACACACAATCTGGATGGCCAAATCATGTAGTTGATCAGCTGAGACCTTTCTTTATTAGAAGACTGGAGCTGTCGGTGGATCAAGGTTGCTTACTGTGGGGTAGGTGTGTGGTCATACCACCCAAGTATCAACAAGAAGTATTAGAGGAACTTCATAGAGAACACAGTGGGGTGGTAAGGATGAAGAGCATGGCGAGGAGCTATTTCTGGTTTCCAGGACTGGACCAGGAAATAGAGCGAACATCAAGGCAGTGTGAAGTGTGTCAGATGACAAAGAAAGAGCCGCCAGTTGCACCATGGGTGTATCCCAAAAGAGCCTGGGAGAGGATCCATATTGACTTTGGGGAGTTCAGATCACAAAAGTTCTTGGTAGTGATAGACAGCCGGACCAAATGGATCGAAGTGATATTGATGTCATCAACAACAGCAAGTAGAACCATAGAAGAATTGAGGGGGCTGTTTTCAGCATATGGTTTGCCAGCCGAAGTGGTATCCCCTATCATCCTGCGTCAAACAGGGCAGCTGAACGCAGTGTACAGATTGTCAAGTCAGCATTCCAGAAACACTTCCTCGCTTCACAGAAGAATGAACACTCCAGGTCAGTGAAGCAGATGTTAGGGAACTTTCTCCTCACATACAGGGCTACTCCTCATACTGTTACCGGGGAATCACCAGCAGTACTCTTCCTTGGAAGAAAGGTACGCACCAGACTTGACCTGCTACGACCCGACCTGGACCAGAGGGTCAAGATGAAGCAAGAAAAACAGAAACAGATGCATGACAGTGAGGGCAGTGCAGTACGTGAGTTCCAGATCAACGAACCCTGTCTTATCAGAAATAGAGAGGGGAGAGACGAGAAGTGGATCCGAGGTAGAGTCATAAAACGCCTCGGCTCACTGCGATACAAGGTGCAGATAGGTGCGTCATCTCGAATCACCCACATTGATCAGATGCAGAGTTACAGAAGTGCTGAGATTCCTGTACCTACCTCACCACCCAGATGTGACATTACAGATCAGCAGCTGAGGGAGTTGGTTAGACTACCTACACAGACAACCAGACCGAGCCCAGGTCCGGGGATGATGCCAAATCCAATGATCAACTTAGAGAGCAGTCTGCCTAGCAGTGACGATGTGACCAGGCGATATCCTGCCCGCCTGAGAAAGCCAGTTGAGAGGCTTGATCTGTGAAATTAACTCTATATCGCTGTGTCAAAGTTAGGATTTCAGTAAAGAAGTAACAGTGGAAAGTTTCACCCTTACTTATTGATGGACTCTAAAGTTGCAAGGGCATGAGTTTAAGTTACTAGTTGATAATTGTGTTAGGTTAACGTTTTAAAGTTAATATATTCTCACGGAGTCAGCCAGGTGAAGAGACTTTAAGTGTTTTACTGGAAACACAATATCATCGTTTATCATAGTGATAACAGGATAATTAGTAAGGCTTAGTCCTTTCTTGTAATAACAAGAGGAAGACATTTAAGGGGGAAGAGTGTAGTGTATTTGCTATAAGTAGTTGTAACACCAACCCTATTGTACATCGTATTCTGATTACGTCATCTACACGTCATCTGCACGAGGATGATGACGTCATGTATGGATCAGTTAGCCATCTTGAATAAAACACGAAGGTTGACACTACTCTCTCGTTGTGTCTTGGTGCACATGCATGGGGTAAGGAACACCCCCGTACGGAATACATTACAGGTTCCAGTAAGGGTTATAGTGAAACCCCTTATCTATGCTTGGGGGAATAAACTCAGCAAATAGTCCAAAGTCACAAGAAGCTAATCATAATTTTATTGACATGAATGGAATAACATTGGGTGGCCACAGAGAATCAGTACAACCCTCTGAGCTGAGGGCTAGAGTCAACCTGTGTTGGGAGTCTAAACCCTACTGACAAACATTTCTTCTTCTTCCTTCTTCGGCTAGGTGCTTTGGAGGTCACCTTCGCCTGTTGGCATTTCAGCAGTCCTATCCCACCTGGGGATGCATTGGGTGTCCCTCCTTGGGACTCGTGGGGGAGGATGTGGTGTCCCTCCTTGGGATGCTTGGGCCGGATAAGGGTGTGCCCTCCTTGGGACGCGTGGGGCTGGGTTGGAGTCTCCCTCCTTGGGACGCATGGGCTGCATCTGCGTGTCCCTCCTACAGCTGCATGGGCTGCATCTGGATGTCCCTCCTTGGGACGCTTGGGACGGATAGGGGTGTCCCTCCTTGGGACGCATGGGGCTGGATCGGAGTGTCCCTCTTTGGGACGCATGGGCTGTGCCTGGGTGTCCCTTCTTGGGACGCTTGAGTTGGGCCGGAGTGTCCCTCCTTGGGGCTCATGGGCTGGGCGTGGATGTCCCTCTTTCGGACGCATGGAGCTGGATCTGGTTATCCCTCCTTGGGATCCTGAGGCTGGACTTGTTGTCCCTCCTTGTGTTGACCCTCATTTGGTCGCATGGTTGTCCCTCTTTGGGACGCATGGGTGTATATATACGTGTGCGTGAGTATATATACATATTTTTTTATAATTTTTCCTAATTCCTAACTATTTATCGCAAACTGAAACAATAAAAAGATTACGATTCGTTGAATGATACAAAATGGGTGTCCTACAATAACCAATGAAATGACAGAGGGGAGTACTTAATCCTGCTAATCCTACTTCAACTGGCACTAATCTTGTTGACACATTTACTGGATGCTTACTCTGGGCTAGATTTTAATGAGCCTAAATGAGTCTATTATAGGTGATGACATGTTTAGCTTATCAAAGCAAATATTCAACAGTATAGACATAATTTTTGTCTTACTGAAAGGTTTGTCGAACAGTTGAGTCCTTTATACCTTAGGCTAAGATTTATCTAAAACATCTGTGAAATTGTGCAGTCGTAACTTATACCTTTTTTATCCCCCGCCACGTGTTTCGCGCGAAGGGGGATATAGTATTAGGCTCCGTCCGTCCGTCCATACGAATTGGAATATCTTAAGAACCGTTTGCTAGATTCTTTTCATATTTTGTACCTAGTTTCATCACAGTATAAGAAAGGTCCAACTCAGGTTTGGTGACCTTGACCTTCATTTCAAGGTCACAAGGGGACTTTAACATTTTACCTGCATGTTAAGCTGCATATCAAGAACCGTTCATTGGATTTTCTTCATATTCAATACCAAGCTTTATCTAGGGAAGGTGCAGGGCCCAGTCGATTTTAGTGACCTTCACTTAATTTTCAAGGTCATGGCGACACTTTGAAGATTTCAGCATGTTAAGTTGCATGTTAAGATAGCCAGCAAGATATCGCAAAAAATATTCACTGGATTTTCTTCATATTTGACACCAAACTTCATCTAGGGAAGGCCCAGGACCCAGTCAATTTTGGTGACCTTCACATAATTTGTACGGTCACGACGACACTTTGAAGATTTCTGCATGTTAACCTGAATTGTCAGCAAGATATTTTAAGAACAGTTCACTGGATTTTCCTAATATCTGAATCCTAATGTATTATTTGTGGTAATAATTAATAATGAATTTTTGTATGGACTATTAGTTCTTGATATACCTTTGAAATGACATTGAATGAATGTATTCTTTCAGTCCAGCCTTCAGGCCCTTGCTGGTTTTGTTTGGGAAGCTCAGAGGTGGAGAAGCATCTTGTGGTCAGTGTTGGAACACAGGTCAGTGTTAATGATATTATTATCCCCCGTAACGCGTTTTGAGAGTGCACATTCGTCTTTTCCGGAGCAGAACTTTAAAACTGTTCACTATTTCTTCAATAAGCTTGGCACATGGATAGGTGTTGTGATGTGTACTGGAGCCTTTTGGTAGTTTTGGAATTCTGAATAAAATAGTTTTTGTGTTTCCAGGGCAGCAAGTTTGGCTTTGAATGCATTTGGTGGTAGTGCTCCTTTGTGAAGCAGAACTTAAAAACATTTCAATGCTCTCCTTCCACTTTGCCATATACAAACCAAAACATTTGACATAATCATAACTAGTAGACATATTCATGAAGAGTATTTTGCCATTGCGGGGGACATTGATGACTTTGTCTTCTTGTGGTTGATAATTTGACTTTACAAAAGGCTTAAGAGTCCCCTTTGAACCAGCAAAATAGAACACAAGTCTAAAATATTCAATGATATATTGAACAAACAATTATCAAGTTACATTGAAAGACAATACATATTCATTATAGTACAGTGCAGTTGAGTCACAAATCTAAAAAGTTGGGTCACATATCTAAAATATCAACTCACCAGAGTCTTAACATTCACAGTGAGAACAGATAAACTGATTGAATGTTGTTGACGATGAATAGACAAGCACAGTGATAAAATTGATGATTGCAGACAGATGTGTATGAATCTCAAGTCCTGTAAGTCATGTGTTAGTCCCCCTTCACAACTAAACAATTATCCTTTATATAGCTCTTACTCAGTTCTCAAGCATTCTAGCAAAGCTAGGCTGCATCATTATCCTCTCAGAACGGTATGGACTGCCATTGAAAACACAAGACACCACTAGACCATCACCGGAAGTCAAAACAAATACCGTATATTACCGTCTATAAGCCGAATTTTGAAAAAAAAAAAAAAGCAGTCTGTAGAAGGGGGTCGTCTTATCCATCGTATCACTTCCTGTGAACAAACAACAGAAGACGACTTTGTCAGTAGAGACGTCAAATTTGCAATTAAACATCACTAGACAAGAATATTTACATTTTAAGTTCTAAGTTGTTTTTGCTGGGCATGGTATTATTTGCAGGGATTAAGATTACCGTGTGTATCTGAGCCTGAAATAGCAATCAGCTGTGCACATGTTTCCCGGCGATCAAGTTCAAACATGCACAATAATATAACGGGACAAATTCTGATGCAGTCATCAGTAAAATATAATACAGAATACTATTATTTAACCCAAAGAAATATATCCTAGCATTGTGTAATTTTAATTACAGTTTTTGCTCTATAAATTAATTAAGATTAAGATTACTGTGTGTATTTGAGCCAGAAATAGCAATCAGCAGCGAACAAGTTTAAACATGCACAATAATATAACGGGACGAATGCTGACGCAGTCGTCAGGAAAATATAATACAGAGTACTATTATTTAACCCAAAGAAATATAACCTAGCATTGTGTAATTTTAATTACAGTTTTTATGTAAAATATATATAATCAACACTAAGGTTATACAGACCCTCATGAACGTGGTAAGCAGAAGTTGTACGCACATGGAATGGGGTAAAATATGGAAGCCATTTAAATTCACACATTTTTTACCGATGTTACTGTAAACTAGCAGTCAATGGAAAACGAGGCGGTAATCAGTTTGTGATTGTTGAATGGGGTAAAATAAGCGAGCCAGTTTGTTGCTACAATAAATATGATATTTAGCGAAACAAAATATATTATGCATTTTATATCAATTACACTTCGTTTCGATCCGTGAGTAGACGCAATATATATGATTGTGAATTCTTTGAATAATGTGGACCAAAGTTATAATTATTGGTAACTGCCAGTTGTCTGTGTTTGCCGCGATTAGGACCCCATCGCGGGGGATCGACTTATGCACGAAACATACCATTTTGACACTGATTTTCTTGGTCAAGTTTGGGGGTCGTCTTATCCATGAGGTCGTCTTATAGACGGTAATATACGGTAAACAAGATTGCCAAGGGCAGGTAATTCCAAAGCGCGCTATCTCAAAAGGCATGCCGTTAAAAATACAAATGCCATTGACCATACATGATGCGAGATGCCCGTCAAAACCCACTCTCAAAACTCTAAACTTTGCAGATGTACAGATAAGCTGTACCTGTGGATAGATAAAATAACTGAGGTACATTTAGAAGCTCTATTTCGGGACATGAACTTGGTAACTTGCAGTCTTTCTTATTGTTTCTCATATTACAGATCAAATATAAATAACAAACACTAACAATTAAACTTAATTATATTTTTACAATTAATGGAAAATGACAAAATACCCAAATGAGTTTGAGTAAGGTGAGTACAATTTATTTGGTTACTCAAAGGAAAATTAGGATACCCACTTGAGATAAACACAAGCGAATACATAACTCAATGACCCGAAGAGTTATCTGTAGCTCTGACTTTGTGACCCATAATAAATATCAGTTAAAGAACAAATAAACTTTGTTTTTTTGTACTCTTTTAACTATTACATATGAAAGATTTGTGGTTAGACTTATGCGGAACACCAAATTCATTCTTAAAAAACTTGTGGTTAATTAATACCGAGCGATTAAAAGTTGCCAAAAAGTCACCTGCTTCACTCTCGCCCACCAACGAAACCACAGACAGGTTACGTAACTCTGTCGCCAGAGCACTGCAGTGACGTCATATGAGGAACGATTTTCAGTTAGTTGTATAGAAAGTGTGTAGCACGCTCATCATTTTGATGATTTCTCGACATCAACGACGACATGCTGAATTGTTGCTTTGTCGTCAAATGCTCCTAGGGTCGGGCGATGGTGTCACCATGCACAGATTTCCACAGGACCCGCAATTAGGTGCTAAATGGGTTATGTTTGTGAGTCGCGAAGCAAGCGTTGTGGAAGCCTGAAACGATATCTTACTTGTGTTCAGATCGCTTCACGGAAGTTAAAGAATCAAAACTACTTACTAGTTGTAGTAAAATATGTATATGATTGATGACCATAAAGATTTTCCATGACACAACTTGTAACATAACAATTTCTTCCTCGGAAGCGAGGTTGTGGTTGAAGTAACAATAATATTGTAAGTGGTATTATATTGACACCCACCTCGCTGCCACGAGAGAAATTGTTATATTATAAGCTATGTCATGCAAAATCCTATTCGACATCAATCAAATACATATTTTACTACCAGTAGAAAGTAGTTTTGATTTTGTAACTCGGTGAAAACAAACCTAAATAGCATTTATCCTCCAGATTATGGTTTGTTTTCATCAAGTTAGAAAATCAAAACTACTTTCTACTCGTAGTTAAATATGTATTGGAATCATAACCAAAAGGATTTTGCATGACACAACTTATAACATAACGATTTCTTCCACGGAAGCGAGGTGGGGGTCGAAGTGACAATACTGCGCGATAAATGTCTTGCTACATTCACATTGTTAACGTCCACTCACCAGTATGTAGATACTAGTCAATGTGCGTCTTACTATTTGGTCTTATAATCCTAATTAGTTTATTATCATACTTGTATGCATTTTGAAACTAAATAAAAAGCAGACGATCTGCTGATACTTATAGTGAATTTATAACAGAACTGTAATATCTAGACATTTTATAGTTTTCCAATGTGAATCATAATTCGCACACACACCCTAGTGTATGTTGTCTGTCTCATTACACTTCACGGCGAAAACAATGATTCTGTTGAATGCTACGACAAATGAATAAAAACAAAATGCAAATACTAAAATTAAAACAGATTAAAGTTATAGGAACAATGTCAGGCTATTACCTTGTTCAAGGAATGTATCCATCAATATCCACAAAAAGGAGTGATATGCCATTCATCTGCAGCTGTTCCAAGTGATGTGTCTTTTAACAGTTTAATATACGAAAAGTGATAAATCTTTTCAGGTATTTCACATTGGTGTATAGTCTCATTGGTCACCCAAGATAGCACACCTGGCAACTAATTGCATAATGTCTGCCTTTCTTTAAAAACAGTACTTTAGTTAGCCAATAATTGGTAAAATCAATCAATGTATTGCCGGTTAATCCTTTGAAAGAAGGACGTTGTTTTTACGCAGACACCGACACAACAGAGTGTATTCAGTATAGATTAGTAAATAGATTTGACAAATCCGCTGTGTAAGATAAAAGTAATTAATCAATCAGCGTGTTATTGGTTAATCCTTTGATCAATGTTTATAATGTTGAATATTTACTCCAGACACAAGAAATGCCAAATGGGAACCTTTGTCAGGTAATCTAAGTGGTGTTACCACTAATTATACCTGTTATAAATTCATTAACTGACCATCAAGTGAATGATAACAAATAACATGTGTAGGTTTATACCACCTAACACGGTTACAACAAGGGAGTATTAATTGCTGTATTGCATGTGAAAACTTATGGGCCGACACTGTTTTGAGAATACAAACAGAACTTCATTGTTGCATAAGAAATACATATAAGCATTTGCTGTGTGCTAAAACTGTATGTACCTATTTACCTTAGTAAAATTTCAGATTCTTCTAGCAATGGCGAAGTAGGGTTGTTTAGTTTACCGATTCAAATAAATCAAATGTCAATTTTTAATATCATACGTAATAGACGTCATATTTTTACATGACATGATTAAATATCGAGGTAAAAATCCACAGAAATGGGATCAATTTGGATCAGTCATTATGCAAATAAGGCCTATCGACATCAAGCGATTTTGACAGAATCGTCTATGAAAACAAGTTGTAACTTGGAAACTAGGCAAAGCAGGAGACAAAATTAAATGACAGTAGATTGTGAGAACATATAGCTTTCATTTTCCACAACAGTTGTCACGATTTCAGGTTTATACAAACCTGTAAACAAGATAATTTACCCTCTGAAATGTAGATGAATTCTGCATCGGCCCTCATAACTATTCCTCATATGACGTCACAGAGACGCCCCGCTCTGATTGGTTGAAATTTCGTTCGCAG